ACTTGGAAGGCTGTAGGAACTGACCCACTTAAAAGAATAGAGTAGAGCAGAGCAGAGCAGAGCAGAGCAGAGCAGAGCAGAGCAGAGCAGAGCAGAACAGAACAGAACAGAACAGAACAGAATACTTTATTGGCCAAGTGTAATTGGATACACATGGAATTTGTCTCCGGTGCATAAGCTCTTAGTGTACATGTAGACAATTAGGTAATATAATCAGTATACATACAAATATACAAATAGTATGTACACTCAAACAACAAGTGTACATACAAACAATAGGTAATATAAGGTACAAATAAGAGAAGGTAGTAGAAAAGATGAGTAGGATAATAGTAATATAGCCCTACTACAGGGGAAATATTCTTAGACATAAGACAGTACTGTGATAATTAAGTGTTTAGCAGAGTGATGTCTGTGTGTAGTTGTTTTGGCAGACACAAAAAAGCAGCAAAGATACAAACTATGGCAGCAAATCTGTAGAATAACACAGTGACCAAATGATTAGAGATCAATCTACAGAGTAATACGGAGAGAGAGAGAATGACTGAGACTTAACAAAGTGTGCAAACTATTGTACAATATTTTTGATTTCACAAGCTTGCAAAATAATGCTTTGGATCATCCAACACAGATTACAGTGCTGCATGGAAAAAAAGATGCCAGATGTTTAACTGGCTTTAGAAAAAGAAAATGAGATTTTATTGCTTATGCATGTAGGGTAATTGAGAAAGCCAAAGAATATGAAAAAGTCAGTATACGTTTCCTTGATTATAGAAAGGCCTTCAATGGAGTCAATCATGTCAGTGTACTCAGAAAAATGGGAATCCAAGAACATCTCATTGTCCTCAACTGGTTCTAGGTCAGCAAAGGAGTCAGAGCAGGTTGTAGATGCTTCCCTTATGTATTTAACCTATAGGATATATGTATACATGCACGCACACTTTCTCTCTCTCTCTCTCTCTCTCTCTCTCTCTCTCTCTCTCTCTCTCTCACACACACACACACACACACACACACACACACACACTCACTCATACATACATACACACATTAAGGGAAGACCCTGATAGCCAAAATTGCAAAGGATCTGCGAGTTCTAGTAATAAAAGTTACGTGAACAAATGGGATTAAAATTAAAGAAAACTAAACTGATTACAATAGGTATGGCAACACCTAATTAATTATAAATGGGTAATTCATAATTTTAATCAACTGAACAACACTAATTTACAGGGGGGGAAATCACTTTTACTTTCTAAAAATGCTAATGTATAAGCCAAGCAGCTAATTAGTATAATTAATTAATTACATGAATTAATAGAACAATAGTTTATTAATTGTTTGGGATTATGATGGCAAATTCTACAAGTAGTAGCACAAACATTATCTTTATGTATATATAGTGTAATGACTACAAAATGCAAACTTGATTGCAAAGCATACTAGAAGCCTTGGTTGACAGAGTCAAGTTCCTTGGTGATCAGTAACTGAAGTTTTTTTTTATGTTTACTGCATAAGTAGCCTCTCTTTTTACCTTTATATGAAAATAATTATAACAGTCGAATGGACATTGTAGCAATAACCCAATTTAAAAATGATTCTTTTTGAGCCTATCATGTCCACTAAGTAGCCATAGCATTAACTATACTGAAAAGTAGAATAGGTTTCTTTATTTAGGAGAAGCCAATGGGCTTCTATTAAAATATAAGAAGAAGGATGTTTAAAGGTCCAAGCCAATATGCTATGCACTACTTACCTTCAAAAGTCAAATAAAACTTTCCTCTGTCAAACCAGACGAGAGAAGGCTGTTCATTCTCTGTATGGCCGGGAGTTGAAGCGGAATGGGAAAGGTTAAGGAGAGGAGAGAGAAGGACATAAGTGTGAGTCAGAAAGGCAGGTTATTAATCTCACTACAGGGAAAGAGGAGGTGCTGCAAGTTGTTAATGTGCAAGGAAAATTGGGGAGGATTTTAATCAACAACGGTCTTGTTTTGTTTTGGGAAGAAACAAAATAAGCAAGTATGGAATCCTACCAGATGGGGATAACTGAACTTCTGAAAAAGTGATTGAGATTTTTTTCTCTCTCTCTTCTTTAATGCTATTTTATTTTTTCTTGGTGGGGTATAATATCAATGACTGGTATCAGTTTAATTCCAATAGCTTTGTGTGGAATTTGCTATTTACATGTCTTTTCCCTTTGAAAATTGAAGCTGCAATCTTGCAAAGTTGTTTGAGCATGAAACATTTAAAAATAGAGAACCAAATAATGCTATAATTACATCTTAAAACAATCATGAATCAAGGGGAGGCCTGAAGACGTTTCTGGAGCCACACATGCACTATTTGTAAAGGTAACATACACTGTAAATCTGCTATAATGGATCTTCAAAATTGATGGCCTTCCCAAGGGGATGTTAATATCTGGCGCAGAGTTTATCCAAGTAGCAATGCTTATTTGAGATTAATAAACTGGTGGACAGAATTTCTGTAATGCTTGTTAAGTGCAGGGTTTTATCCATCCTTTTTACTTTATTAAAATTCCAAAGGAAGAAGCTTTTAACATTTCTTGTCAGCAATTAGAAGGTTTTTTTGACTTTCATTACTTAAAGATTCAGGCAACAACATGACTAACAATTGGAATTACGTGATGAGCTTCTATTACTGAAATTAATGCATACCTAATTCTGAAATTCCTGGAAACAATACATGTATCCATATAGGCATGTATGTATGTATGCATGGATGTCTTTGTTTCTCAGTTTTGGAAGAAGAACATATATAATTAATTTTTGTGCACAATAGTCCTTAGTAAATTTTGTTATTCCTGTATCAAAGTATCAAATATTATGTCGCCACTTAGAAACTCATTTGAGCATTCAGAAGATTGCATTTTTATGTGCAACTTGAGTTCCTCTATATCAGCTATGCATTTAATGCATTTGACTCTCATAGCAGTGAGAGTGGTAATGAAGAAAGCATTTTAAAAACACACAACTCTGCTTGTACGGTACCTGCAGATGTTTCATAGTGCCTTGCAAACATGGACAATTTGTCATTATAAGTATCATCTTCCGAAACCCACAAGCAAAAGAAATGCAAAAGAAAAACAATGAAAACACAAATTCTAAATGAAAACCTAATTAACCAAATCCACATTTATTACAATAAAAAAAGTTTTACATAGAAATGGTGGACACATCTCTTTTATTATCAAAGTCATGTTCAATACTACCACTAAGACAAAAACAAATATAAGAAAGGGCAAATGAATGAACAAAAGCTATGTGGTATTCTTTTGGACAAAGTATAAATGTACGGAATAAATCTCAGAAACTAAAAGAACAATGCGTGATAAAATAATGTAAGACCGAGAAGCATGAAATCTCTGTGCTGCTAAACATAATTCTTTATTTCAAATGAATGTGTGGGCAAACACTTCATTTTTTTTAAACTTTGATAGATTTAAAAGTTTGTCCTTCCTAGCTCCTCCTGCCTATTGCATTTATCCCCTGCCCCGTTTTATTGTGAACCGCCCGGAATCCTTCGGAATTGGATGGCATACAAAACAAAACCAATAAACCAATAAACGATACCTGTTGAAGTGGTTTTTTTTTAATCCAAGACCTTAATGGATTTCTCTGTTTTCAAGTATATTCCATTCAATCCTTCTTGCAATATGAATATTTTTTTCCCATGTATATCCCCTCTCATCGGATTTTCTGTAAATGGGAATAGCTTGCATGTTTTGTGATCCAGCTGTGATGAAGACCCAGCAAGAAAGGATCCTTCTCAAGGGACAAGTTCCTAGCATGTATTTTTAAATCTATGTTGATTGTTCAAATGAAAGGCCCAAACTAATCTTTGTACAACCAAGATGGGTCAACTGCAATTGCCACTTCATCCCCACAATACAAACTGTCCATCAAGTTTTTCCCTTCAGCTAGAAATTATTACATCCTAAGCCATTCAGGATATTCAGCACACCTTGTGACATATGCAGTTGGCCAAGCCCATTCCAGCTCATTCAATAACCAACTACATTACCAATTTTGACAGCATCAAGAGGCTTTTGGAGTAAATGATGCTTTTGAACAGATATGGTAAGTAAACATTCTTATTTTTAGAAGACTAAAATCCATTTATTGTCTTCCAAAGCCAATACATTCTGAAACATTCCCCAGTGTGTGTTCCCCCCCATCTTGTAAGAAAAATTTAAGGGAGATGGTTAAAATTAGGGTACCTGTGGGAAATACGGTCCTTCCCTCCGTCCCTGCTCAGCGAGAGCATGGGGAGAATACAGAATTTGACATTTTAATGATTGTTTTCTTCATTTAGAACAATGAAACAAATTTTTGAGCATGGCCACAGACAATCAACAACATCAAAAGGACAAAACAGCTCAATTTAATACAAAAAACTTATATTCTTGTGTTCAATAACACATTAAAAATAGTCTTAAAAGTGGTTTGCCATGAATTTGACCATTTCTTTGGCTCTCTGTAGTACAGAAATACAGATTCAACAAATTTCAAATGTAGAAATTAAGAATTTATATTTATATTTATATACACACACATACACACACACACACACACACACCTAGTTTGAGTTATTTTAATATTCTAACCATAAATAATGCTTAGCCGTTCATTTGTAACACATAAGTAATCATTAAATATAACGATAATAAAATAAAATAAGAACCAATGATTTCTTAGCCATTTTTCTTTCATAATTCTCATAATCAGTTTGTACTACAGCCGGTCTATATCTCATTATATATTTAACAAAATATCCAAGACCATCAATCTACTGTAAATACAACTGGAATATTTGGTAATTTTAATTTCTATAGAAGGTTTAATTAAAGATATCTGAGCAGTTCCCCTAAACAAAGTAATTGTTCTAAGGTAAATTATATATGGCTAATTAAACATGCTTTTGTTTTATCAGTCTGCAAGATTTGCAACTGTAATTTCTAAAATACTCTTGATGTTTGAAGATTTGATGCATGTTCCTTAAACACTGTATTGAATAAATTCAGTTTTCTATAAAATGCACAAATACATGGAACACTCAGCTTCATGTACAATACAAACTTTTGAGTCACTGATGACAAAGTCTACTAAAAGATCACATTTTACAATATTATAGCATTGTGAGTTGTTATTCATTCCACTGATTGATATACACTGATAAAACGTTCACGGTTTTATTAACTAACAGCAAATAAAAACAGAGATAAATAATGAATTTGCAAAGAAGTCAGAAAAGTGCCTCAGACCCTCTTCCCAATTTCACATTATGCATAATAGGCAATGAAATTAAATTTAGATTTTTCAGAAAGGCAACAAAGATTTTGAAGCACTTGATTAAACATTTAACAACTTATTAGTTGAATGCATGCTCTAGCCATAAGGAAATTCATTTCCTAATAACAATTAGGAAATGTAATAAAGCAATTACAACAAAATAAGAGTTAAAAGATGGAAAACTTTCTGTAAAGGGTAAGAAATCACAGTGTCCAGCATGTAAAGAAAAATACAATCATATCAATTGATTCTGATTTCTCATATTGTCAACTTTGATTTATTGTGAAAGAATATTCAAACTGTTGCCATGCTGACTTCAATCAGAATAATTAGGTAGATAATCAAAATGCCTTTTCTGTCCACATAGACTAGAAAAGAGTTGAGAGAAAATTGACATAAGAGGGGCATAACAGAAATGGCGATAAAGCAGAATTTTGATTAATATTAGAATGAGAACAAATAACAGCAAAGAAAAGGATGTAGCCTAGCAATAAATGAGAATTAAATGCCACAAAATTGATGCATAAAAGGGCACAAATATTGATGAAACAAGAAACAGATCAAAGAGTAAATCTGAAATCTGCAGCAGAATGAATTATATCTGACAAAAGATTTTTTTAAAGTTATGCAACGGAAACTGAGGATGGCAGTGGGAATCACAATATATGATTCAAGAAATTGAGAATGAAAACAAAAGTGAAAGAAGCAGCAAAGAAAAGGGCAGGAAGAACAAGAAAGACTAAAGAAACAATGAAACAAAAGGAAAGGAGAAATAAAGAATTTATGATTCTAACATTGCAGTTTTTTAAAGGGACAAATAATATCTTAAGTAATTTTTTCTCACATTTCAAATTTTTAGAAGGTTCATATAAAACATTTTTAGATGCTTTAAAGTTTTATTTTTATTCATTTTCTGCAGTTCATTTTTTTAAAAAAACACATCTTGTTCATAACAGAATTTTAACAATGTCAATATGTAGCTAGTTCCTATTTTTTCTACTCACAATTGCATGTATTTAGCTTAAGTATATTTAATTTAGCAATGATTTCTGCGACTATCAAATGGTCAGACTGCTGTTCTTCTTTACAGACCGTCTTGAGCAAGTATAAATCTGGCCCATTCCAGATGTTTAAGTACCTAGTACCATAGTCCTTTGCTATTAAAACTACAGTAATCAAGGCAGAGGAGAAATAAACTTAAAAAAAAACCTAGAAGGCACCAAACTATCTACCATGTAGTCTTTCCCAAACAAACAAGCTCATTCCTGATGAATTGCTGTTTTACTTAGATTTAGGCATCCACCACATGTGGTCATGATCTACAAAAATGAGGTGTTTCTCTCTGCAGGCAGCAAATAGTGGAAATTCACATTTTGTCTTTAAGTGGTCACCTCATGTGGCCAGAAGAGGAAACCTGACAATTCCCCACCTCCCAATTTCTACATTCCCACTAATACCACCGGGTTGAAGGACATGATTAAAAAGACCAAATTCCAGAAATAGTCTGCCAAGGTATGTGCCACCATGATGACAAGATGACTGGGCTTTTGGTCTGAGCTCCAAGCTTGGCAATTTGGTTGTGCACAGACGAGTACAATTCAAAGCGCATTGCTGATGTCTCTTTGAACGGTGACAAAACATTTGCAGCCAAATTGCCAAGTTTGGAGTTCAGACCAACAGCCCAACTACCAACTCGAGCTACTTATAGTCAAATACGTTTCAGATTACTCTTTTTTAGGGGGGGGGGATTTCTTTGATGATAGACATTAAGGGACAAGAAAGATGCTCTTGGATATGGCCATCATTTTTATTTATTTATATTCCACCTCTATTAGTTTTTACAAATAATTCAAGGCGGTGAACATATCAACACACCTTTGTCCTTCTATATTGATTAGAAAGGTCGTGCTCTGCTATGCGGTTAGTTTTCTGCCATAGACTGTAGCAGAGAGGAGCTTATAATAGCAATAGCACTTAGATTTGTATACCGCTTCACAGTGCTTTACAGCACATTCTGGGCAGTTTACAATGTCAGCACAGATTATTGTCCTCAATAATCTGGGTCCTCATTTTACTGACCTCGGAAGGATGGAAGGCTGAGTCAACCTTCAGCCCAGTCAGGATCGAACTCCAAGCTGTGGGGAGAGTTTGTTTGCAATACTGCATTTTAACCACTATGCCACCAATGGTTAGACACAGCAGCCCTTTCACATTCTGCTTTCTTTGAAATGTAAAATTAGAACACTTGGGTGAAACAAAGGTAGCTTCCCTTTCTTCCTTCCATTAGTCTCTATTAAATTGCCAAGATATTAAGGAATATACATGACAATTCTATACACATACACCTTCTGAATAGATTATCCGAAAGCACATAGTTTAATTTAATTTAGCACAAAGCAGTAGTTTAAAACTATGTTGGTTTTAACTAAGAACTTTTTAATGTAAAAATCTGACATTGCATGAGATCTATTCCTTTCTTGCTCTGATTCCTTCTTGGAAAAAAAGGCACAGTTATAGATGTAATTTTCTGTTCCAATGTATGTTAGTTAGGAGTGTGTTCTGTCTGTACAACTTAGGAAAAAATGAATGTGTATGCGGAATATGAATGTGTTCTCCTTTAGATCCTACTATCATATATAATCTGTGTAATACTTTTTGTAATCTATAAGCATTCCCCAAACTTTTTTGTATCAGGGAGCGGTTTTGGAAGAAAAATCATCTTCCTTGAAAACAGGGGGAAGGGAAGGTTTCATGCACAACCTAGATCCTGCACATGTGCAGATGAACCTTCACTTGCTTGCTCCAATACTTCCTAATATGCTGCGGACTGTCACTGGCCCATGGCCCGGGAATTGGGGACCCCTGATCCATAAGATCCTACTATTACGTGTATAAAGGTATGTTAAAAATGTATTGATCTAAAGAGAATCACAGCTGCAATTCTCTGTTATGATTTCCCCCCCTTTTTTCTGTTTCCATGCAGCATGATGATAACAATGAAACAAAGAAAACATAACCAAAATAAAAAAAATTCAAAAACCAAAGGATTTAAGCCATTCTGCTAACAGAAACTATTGTTCAAAAGAAAAAAAAGTTGTTACCAATTGTAGGAGTAGTAGCTGCACTCAAGGAATTGGTGGATGAAATAGAAGAGGTGCTTTCGGCACGAGCTAAAGGTGCTATTGGAGGAGGACTAGATGAGTGAATTGGAGGGCTGAAAGGTCTGGACTATAGATAAACACAAAGAACATTAAAAATACACACAATAATCACTTAATGAACCCACTCAGTATTCAAAAATATTCATAACTCTACATAGTCTTAGATTTGGGGATAAAGTGAGGATTAATCCATAAATATCAAGTAGATACTTACTCTGATTTCTCAGCAGCCTGGCTACAATTGATCACAAGATTCAACTTTAATTAATATAATCTTTGGTTTGCCAACTTCCTCTCTTCATCCAAGAAGAGTGTGACACCAAAGATATGGGCATTTTTGTTTTGTTTTGTTTTGAAGGCTTTGAAGAATCAAATTGGAATCTTTCCTTTCTTAAGGGCAAACCCATCCATTCATTCTTAAAAATCCCCAAACCAATCCCAAAACCATGTATAATTTTATCACATTTGAAAGGTCAATAGATAACAAAAGTTACATATTCCAACCTAATCTATAGGTTGAGAATTCAGCCTTTCAGGAACTGGGAATGTTATAATAAGGATTCACCTGATAGGAGATTTAAACTAAATTCTTAGCTGATTTCCCTTTGCATCCCACAAACTTCAACTCTATCTCCATTGCTCTCAGATAACAGTTTATCAAAGGAGCAGAGCGTACTGACCTACTGGCTTTCAGCAAGTTGTAAATTAACTAGGTGTTTTTAATTAATTTGTATAGGAAAGCTGACAATTTAATTCAATCTATGTTCAAGTCTAGGGTTCCATCCCTGGATGGAAAGTCTCAAGGGGCAAGGTAAGAAATTGAGAATTCCAGCATAGAAGAGTAATACACTTATGGGCCCTTGAAAATAAGGTCATAATAAGAAACTGTTCCAGTTTTAACTATAATGGACAAAGCATTAATGTGCCCAAAGCTAATGATGCTCCTGTGGGTTGAGTGGTCTCATTTTTGGCGTCTTTTGGTGAAGCAAGAGTAGTACAATCTTATAGTATGCCGAATTCTGAATTCTTTGTATCAGAATGGCTATTTGGCTAGACTTCTCTGTAACAATTATCCAGTAATTCTTTCCTATTCCTCCTTCTTGGGTAAGACTAGAGTCATGGAAAACAGGTGAAGATATTTTAGCAAAAATCACATTCCAGCTCCATCTTTCAGTCTATAAAGTACAAGTCTTTTCCAATCCTATATTTTTTAAAAATAAATATGAGATTATCTTGTCAAGAAATAGATGCAAATAATAGCAACCGTGATTGATTTGAAGATAAAAACTATAAATTATTATCATTTCTTTACATGAGAAAATCTTGATATTTTTTGCTAAAGTAATAATTCTAAAAAAAACTTTCGTGAAAGCCAACAAAACTACCCCACAATTTTATATTTAATTCATTTTAAAAACCCAACATTAAATTATAACACACTTTTGGATATTTTTAAACCAAATCAAGAATTTAACTAGAGACAACAAACATAATTTTAGATTTTTTTATTCATTTACTTAATTATTATACTTCTATTCCTCATACTCATAACCAAGCCAGCCCACAGTGGTTAATATAATATTTCTTTCATATCTACAGTGTTTAATGTCTCTATAATAGGCAAAGAGACATTCCAACTCAGTGCAGTTAGCAATTTGTAAAAAAAAACCTAAAACATACCACATCAACACCTGGCTTTCCCGGAGGTAACTTTGGACGAGATGGGGGTCTAGGAGGCGGTGGTGGTGGGGTAGGGCTGCTGCAAGATGTCAATGGGGTTGCAGGGCGAGCAGGTGATGATGACCCTGAAAGAAATGTACACCATCAGTATGGGGTTAAGCTGCTCTCATGACAGCTCCCTCCAACCTTTAAAGTATTTATCCCACAGGGTGGAGAGTCAATCAAGCTAAACAATGCAGTACCAGCTTGGGATTTGGGTCATGGGTTACTGAGTAAACATATACCTTCATATACGTGGACTCAAACTGGATGAAATAGACAGTTGCTAACCAGATAGGTCACCATGAAGTAGAAGAGCTTATTTCTCTGCTTTTGTGCCAGTGCAGTTTTTACATGCATGTAACAATATATATATATGCTTTGGCTATGTTTGCTTGCATATAAACCTTACAAAGTTTAATTCGAAAGGAGCACTAGTTGAACTGCACCGTTTTAGATTAAGTGTGGCTGCTCAGCATTCCAAAATACTGCCTTGTTTCTTTAATATTAACTTGTAAATAAATGGGCGGTGAGCGATTGTTCCAAAAATTTAATTGGGGACGCTGCCATCAATTAATAATGATAAAAATAGGTACACTGCAAACCTGCATGTATTTATTTAGAAATATGAATATACTCCCATGTAAATGGATTTTCAACCTTAGTGAATGGTAAGTCACAGTAAAAAGAAGAATAAAAAGCTGGCAAATCAGATAACAACCAAGGACGATTCATGAAAATTTGTGAAAATCTGATATTACTCTGGAGAAAAATGCATGTCCAGAATTTAAGAAATTGATATATTTCTTACTATTTCAAGGTAATTTTTCCCAAATCGTTGAACACGTTTTCTAAATTGCCACTGACAGTTGTAAACAAGCTTTTTCATCTAAGAATAATCATTCATTATGAAAGAACAATACTGAAACTGATTTAAGTCACATGCCCATGTAAATCCAACTACCATACAAATTCTTTTTGTTTTTGTTTTGTTTTTTTGCCAACGGACTAGAATGTCTTTTTTGAAACTTAAGAATATGAGGAATCTTTAAAAATTATCCTACCAGAACTCCAATATCGTATCCGAAATGACTTCCAATGACATTTAAGCTTTTACTTATGTTTGGTAACATCAAACATTTGTTTTAATTGGAAGAAGTCAAGCTGTCTCTTCTTTCTACTCTATCAGTATTCTTCCCGGAAACTAGAACAGTTGCAGCATGGAAGGAATTCACAGCATGGACTCCTTGTATACCCGGTGAGTGTACAGCAGTGATTAGTGTGTATCACAGGAAGGAAGTATGCTGCAGTTGCTCTCACGCTGCCAAAGGGAAAATATAAAAATGGCCCATAAAACTTGTAAGTATACATACTTATTACATTATCCGTTCCAATGAATAGTGCATCTTCTTTCTCCCAAGATGAAAAGTATATATAGTACATAGGGCTGCACAAAGCATTTGGAAGGGATGCTTTGTGAAACATTTGGGTGAATGAAGTGCCCCTCCTTAAAGAGTTAAAGCAGACATATCCTCCAGATAGTTTGGAGTAAATGCTGGAAGGATTTGTCTGATTGTCTGCGTAGTACTGTATTTGTGCATGCAATGCCACTTTGGGGGCAGTCAGCATAGAAAAATTGTACCTGCAAACAAATCCATAGGCAGCTAAGGAAGCGTTTAGGAAGAGGTGACTTGGATGCTTGGAGGATGAATACTTGGCTTGGGAAAGCCAAATATTGCAATACTTTACAAAGATCCCATTTTAAATATTTGGCACAGCCCTATCAAATGACAAAGATTTATTTCAAGGAAATAGAGAAAGGATGTCTATATTCAACCAATCAGATGTTGGTGGTGTTTTCCTAAGTCTTAAACTGAACCCTTTAGCATCAAACAAGACATTCTTGTCAGGAGGGTTGATCTATCATGTCAGCATTAGTGAAACTTATAATCACTGACTGATCACATGCTTCATGCAGTCAGTAAAACACTCAGCTGCGAGGAGAGGGTGGATGGATGGAGCTTTAAAATACAGCATCATAAATTATTATGTAATATTTGTTGCATTAATAATGTTCCATTTGCTAAGCATGCTCTGAATAATTTGCTTATGCAAGATGAGGCTTTGGAAAAAGTTGATAATTTAGGTTTTTTAGTGACCCCATACTGCTGGAGTAATACATTTTTTGCTCTGAAACTAATTTTCCTTTCCTTTCCTTTTCTTTCCTTCCTGCCCTGCCCTGCCCTTTTTTCCCCTTCTTTTTCTTTCCTTTCATTTCCTTCATTATCGTAAAAAAAAACCTGCAAAATGATTGCACAAATATTCGTTGTGTACTGCTATATAGTTGAGATTTCTCTATTAGTGACAAATGAAATAAAGAGGGAATGTATATTGATGAATCTATGTCTATGGAGATTCTTAATCATCCAAGTCATGGTTGTCCCAAAGGTGCTTTTTTCAAAAGGGAACCGGACTTTCTTCTTCTCCAGTCAAAACTGAAGAAGCTTCTTGGATGAGAAGTGAAACGTCTTCAGGAAAAAACAAAGTCTGGTTCCCTTTTGAAAAAGCACTTTTGTGATGAACCTACACTATGAAACTAGTGGGACTTTACCTTTGGAAGAATACATCTATCTTCTGGAAACAGCAAAGAAGCTTTATATTCAAGGAATGATACACAGAATTGAAAATGTTTTTACAGAATCTTCAGATACCTTAGCAATTTTCTAAAATGTAATATTTAGTGTAGAAATTACTAGATAGTTCTGTCTCAAAATCAGAAAAAGAAATGGACACTTTTAATAGAATTGTCATTTTGTATCTAATGCCAATCAATTATTATGATAATTTTGGTGGTAACTGACATTTCAAAGGGCTAGAATGGCTGTACACACACACACACACACTTTTTGTTATATTGTATGTTTCCTAGATAATTTTCTGATTGTTTCCTATTTTTTTACTGTAACCAGTAAAGTAGAGTAGAGTAAAGGAAAAGGAAAACTTTCCCTCTCTTCCATTTAATTATTAAGCAAATGTATTCATCCTTTTTGAGTTCTTGACATACATGCAGAATTCAGAATGACTGCATTAAGTTACATTATTTTTATTGGGACTGGTATCTGAAAATACATCCCTGTGCTCCATTTTAATCCACATACAAAACTTCATGGAAATCTGTTGTGGTAAATACACAAGAAGAAACTTCCTCAATAGCCATCAACTCTGTCTTTGAAAGTGCCAAAACAAGCAAAAACACAACAACTGCAAAATATATTGTAATAATTGATTATAGTTACACAGGAAAGGAATTTTGAAATAGGAAAGCATACATGTCTATAGATCCCTATCGTCCTTAACTGTACATATTATTATATAGAACTGTAAGAGATGCTAAAAGCCCGATTAGCTTCCAGTTCCAGTCACTCGTGGGAATAATGTGAAACAGATAATACACAATCTATTTTTGCACTTGCTTTTTATAAAAAAAGATGAATCCTAGATTGCTGTAAACAGATAATGTTGCAATTATATTGCAGATCCAACCCCAGGTCTAACTTGTATTTTTTAGGGAGAACATCTTAATCAAAATCAACTATCAAACTTCAGGAAAATAAAACACTTCAAGAAATAAGAGAAGCGTTTTATCCCAAAATAAAATGAACTGTGAAAGTTTGGTTTCCGGTTCTTTTTGGGAAAATAATTCAAATTAAAAAAGGATTTCTTCCACTTAGGACAATGATGGTGAACCTTTTAGGCACGAGTGCCCAAACTGCACGTGTGCGCATGCCCAAATTGAAAGGTGCATGCATGTGTATGAACGCATGTGCACAAATGCACACATACAACATGCATGTGCGCAAACAGGCACATGTGTGGACAGGCACATGTATGGACATGCACGCATGCTCAGGAGAGACCTAAAGAGGTCAGATCTTTTTCTTCCATGAGCTTCTGTTTCATCATTTGCAGGGAAACAGAAGCTCACAAAAGAAATGCCATGCAGATCTGACCCGGGGCAATGGTGTGTGTGCCAGCAGAGAGGGCTTCATGTACCACCACTGGCACACGAGCCATAGGTTCGCCATCATGGACCTAGAGCATTTTAAATGTGCAAAACTGATTCTTTATTTCAATGACAAGCCATACGAAACTGTTTGTAGCTAAGCCAGCAGTTATTCACTTCATCATCCATCTGTGGATAGATATATACAAGTTCTAAGCTATTCCATTAATCATATCTGGAACATATAAGGGCATTTCCTGCTTTAAACAAAAATGATAATTTTAAAGACTAATGATAACATTTAGTCTGCTTCCTAAAAATAGTAATGATGAAATTTTCTATTAAGGAACAAAAATACAACATGGAAGGATAGGTTTTAAGACCCCTTGGAATGGGGTGATGTTTTGGTTTTTTTTTTTTTGCCTCAGAATAGCATTTGAATATATCTTTTTGTTCCCCTCTCTTGTTGTTCACTCTTGCCACAAAAGGCATTTTCTTTGAAAATAGGGATTATGTAAGCATCAACAGGGAGAGGTTATCGAAGACAAGAGAGTATTCTTCAGTCTCATCTTAGATGAACACATTATTGATTTCCTATTTGTAATTAGGCAACAGGTAGCTTTCATTTCCTTCCAAAATTGAATTGGGAGCCAGAGAAAAAACACAAAGCATATGTTGCCCAAAGGAAGTTACTTACAGGACACGCTCAAGAAATTATTCCCATATAAGAAGAAGCTACAGTTCTTTTTCAGACTCTGGACAATTGTTTTTAGTTACAAAGGGAGATGAGTTTAACTTGTTGCTTGTAGAAATAATGGGGTGCATGTTTCACTCTCATCCCTCCATTTTTATTTTCCAAACTACTCAAAGACTACATTAGGAAAGGTGTGTGCAGGGAAAGCAACCCAAAATGTCGCTCCCCTGAAGTATTGATTATTGATCTAAGATTTAAATACTTTACTGTCTTGCTAAATTCCCATCAGAGCTCCTATTAGTCTGAGAATAGCCACAAATATTTTCTTATCATCACAAAGGGAAGGAGTTTGTCTTGATGTCATTTGGAGCACCTTGGAGTCCGTGGTACACAATAACAGCTTCAGAAGTAGATGAATGGATTTCTTGGAGACTAAACTAATTTTTCATTTACCCATTGTTTGTTTCTTGGGCTACTACAGTCATTTGCTATAACCACACTTGTATTTCCAATGAAATGGCACTAAATATAACTTGCTATTGGGATTATTATATTGGGATTACTATATTAAGATTAAATTATTATCTCTCTTAAATTGAGTTCATCTCCCGATGACTGTATGGACATGTCCATTTTCCCCCAATCTCACATCTAGAGGTGAGTGAAGCAAGAAAGATAAAACTGACTCTTTCACTGCTCATTATCTGTATAACTCTTATCATACCTGTTAGCTGATGTCTGGGCTGATTCTCATGAGGGTATAGCACTACTCTTGAATAGCATTACAGCTATCTTTTAAAAAAGAGCTTATCAGCTGAATATAAGCTAATTGAGAGGCTCTTTTTGATTGCCAATTCAAATTTGCATTCTCCCTGATCCACATCCCATTTAAGGAGAGTTTGGTTGATTATGTTTGTTGGGAGAAGTAAGCCAGGGAAGTCCACCAATCTATGTCCTCAGTATTTTCTGTACCATTTATAGGCACTATTCTGTGGTGGGGCAAAGATCACTACAGTGGACACAGGCAGGAGTGCACTGCTATGGGTTCTCCCACATTCGGGAGACATTATGGTCTCTTCAGAGAACCCCCAAATCCCACCCCTGGCTGGCCCAGCCCACCCCTCACTGCCCCTCCCAGGAGTCTCCACGCTGCCTGTTTTGGATGCGCGGTAAGTGCAGGGCCCGCATGGAGGCTTGGGGAAGGGGGAAAACAGGCTTTCTGGAAGTTCCAGAAGGTCAGAATGGGCCCATTTCTGGCCTCTAAAGGGCATCCGGAGCCTGGGGGAAGCAGTTTTTGGCCTCCCAAATGCTCGAGGAAAGCCTCCAGAACCTGGGGAAGACAAAAATGCCCCCCCCCAGCCATGGTGTAGGAGGCTGATTAGGCCATGCCCACCCAGCAACCGGGCAGAGAACCCGTTGCTGAAATTTTTGAAGCCCACCCCTGGATACAGGCCCTGAGAGGGGGAAAATTCTTCATTTAAGACTTAATATATCAATATGTGCAGATGTGATCTTTGCTGCTATTAAAGTGCTATCAAATTGTTTTTTCATGACTACTGATTATAGAAGTCCTGAATTATATAGATGAAGGTGGAAAGTCATGTTAGACTTCTTTTTTCTGCAAAAAGGTCAAGAAGGAACTGTAGTAACCCGGCAGAGCACAGATTCTTTTCTTATGCTTTCCTCCTGAGGAAAATTGCCAAGTGAAGTAAATTAAATATTTCATTTCTTAATTCAGAGCTTTGATAAATTTAAAGAAATCCTGATCAATGATAATACATTTCCACCTTTACCTGGTGCTTAAGACATAAAGCTCTCCCATCAACAATTAGACATTCAGCAATGGTAGGAAAATAAAACATACTATCAAGGATTAACAGTTGAGTTGGGTCACAAGAGAACGGAATTAAAGAAAAAAAAAGGCCACTGGGCACAGTACAATCAAACAAAAGGGAATGATTGATGCTAAAAGCCAAAAAACAAAAACAAAAAACTAACAGCTAAAAAGGCTTGTTGTTTCACACAGCAGCATTCATGGCCACACTGAAGCACACTCAAAGCTGTTTAGACATACCACTGGTGCTTCCTGTGCCACCGCCAGGGCTGGGTCCAGGTGATGACACCACTGTCCTGTAGGTAGGAGGTGGAGGGGGAGGTGGTGTTGCTCTCTGTCCCACCCCAAAATCTTTAGGAGATGCTGCTGGTGCTAAGTTATCATCTTTAACGTGGGTCTGCTCTGAAACTTTCTTCTGAACCTCTTCTAAATTGAGTGGAGAAGGAACATTGCGAGAGACTTCAGCCTCTGGAGGCTCTTCTGGGATTTCGGATGCCACAGGTGGGGACACCACTTTTTCCCTTGAAGTCACCTCTGGAGTTACATTTTCCAGGGACTGATCAGAAAAACTGATCCATTTATCCTCTGCGTTATCAGCAACAGAATTGGGGGACAATACTGGGCCAAAAATGTTGTCCAAGTCATTGATTGATGGTTGTTTGTCACTTTTGACCTCTGTTGCTGTCTGGTCATTTCCTGTGGTCAAAGTAGTTGATTTCAAACTTTTAACATCAACTGGTACAGTTAAGTTGTATTATTGCTCTACGTATGTATGGGGATTTTAAAATTCAAGCTACATTCTACCACAAAGACATTTTGATAACACATTTAAAAGGTGCTTTTGAGAACATAGTTGTGTGCAGGTATCCATATAACTTTGAGGTACATTCCATGTAAATTCAAAATCAAATATCATATGTTATATATTGATAGAGAAAATTACCTAGGCAACACAATTGACACTTTGACTTTATTACTAGATATTAGGAGAGAAATGGCCAAACTATAAAAATTTAAACAAGGTGATGTATGTGCACCTATGAACATGTGTATTGCATAATGCATTGGATTATGTGATATGCAATGTGACATTGTTTTAGCAAATCAAAAAGAATATAATTTGCAATACATTTCTATGCTTCAGTTGAATTGTTATTATTGCCAAAATAAATTTTAGTAAATGTAGAAGAACATTTGACAACAGATGTGTTAAGTGACAGGAAATGATTCTTAATGAAAAATTAATGGTTGCTATATTCAAATAATTGTTGCATTACTTAATTTCAGTGCTTGGGATAATCTGAAATTAAATAAACAGTTTCTAAATTGTTTTCCTTCTGTGAAAGAAAATGTTTAAAGTTCAATATGTGTCTTAATATGTGATTAGTCATGATTCAACAAAAGTTAAGCAAATTTAATTCCCATTGACAACAGAGATACATCCCTGGCCTCCATTTTATCTGAAATGGCTGCAATTTTCCAATTCTGCATACAAAATAGAAAACAATGTAGAACTATTTTCTTTTCATAAAAAAGAAGACTATTCCATATGTGCAGAGCTCTGGATCACAGCTAATAAGTACATTGATAGAATATAATTTCTGTAATTGATATTCTGTAATTATGAATAAATATATATAAAACCAAAAAATTTTTAGGAATGCAAAATTATACTAATTTTTTATTTCCCCCTTCCTGATTGCTATATTCCAGATAGGAGTGGAGAAGGCTGTATTTGAGAAACATAATCATTATATATTTTAGTATATTTGTAGTCTACCTTTCTATCAAAGTGTAGCACACCAAGGGAGGTAACCATCTACCACAGGCCATGTATATATAAATGAAATATTGATAAAAAGAGAAAAAATTCTGATCCAAAATGTTACATATGTTTGTAAAGCAATACTTAAAAAATTGAGTTTGTATGCATGGCTGTTTTCCTTATATAACAGAATCACTTGTTGATTGAGAAGAAACCCCTAAATGCATTAAGATTCAAGACATACTTAAGCTTCCCAACTTTTCTTATACAAAATTGAGTCTTGTAAGCAAAAGCTTACTAATAAAATTAAAATTACCAAAAAATATTCACATTTTGAGTGCTTAATATAGCACAGATGACAGAAGCATTTCAAAATTTCAAGGGTTTCGACGATAATGTATTAAGCTTCATCAGTTATTTTTTGATATCTAAAAAGAGAAACCTGCTTAAAATATTTTGTGAACAAAATATTAAAAACATACAGTATATGCATAATATTAAGAAATTGTGATTGAGTTCATATTAATGTTTCATAATGTATGCTAAACAAGGTCATCATGATTGTGCAGCCAAATGTACAAGTATTAGACCTGACTATTTGTGTCAAATATTCTTACCTACTCCAATTGTTAAAGGGGAACCAGCATGGGGAGGTGTAGCAGGAATGTTTTTGGGTGGAAGTGGTGGAGGTGCTGTAACATAAAAGGAACATTTCAAGGACAAGGATAGACAAAGCTCAATCACAAAGAATTGACAACTCAGTCTCATGTAGATGTAGCTGCAATTCAGAGAGTTCATTGTACAAGCAGATGACATTTCCACTTGTGCAGGAACAACAGTTGTTAACAGCTTGCAGTTGTTAGTTAACATCCCATAATTTTTATGCAGAATATCTCTACCATCAGAAACACGTGTTTAATATGGAAGCAGACATAATAATGTTGCTAAACATTATACATTTTAAAATAACATAGCCATTTTAATGAGAAATTTCTCTTCTGTTTTCTGATTAATTTCTCTTTCTAATATATTATATTGGCAGTAAAGGTGAGTTTTCATTGCACAGTTGAATTAATATCTCTGTTCCCACACAGTCTAATGAGCCATAATCCCTAGTAGATTTACTTCTTTTTTTATTTCACAATTTTTCAACTACACAGGCCCAACAAATTAAACCACTTTTTCCAAGAATTATTCTAACTTACTTCCAGATGGGAAGGGACGTGATGCATTTGGAGATTCTACACTGGAGTTCGCTGGTTGCACAGAACCCCAAACTTCACACTGATCTATGGGACCTGAAGCTATATATAAGCAGACATATAACAACATATTAATCTAGAAGTAACACAAGAACTTGATTCTTTTTTATTTCCAGTAAGAGTTTAACTCTGAACTTTAGGTATTACGGAATTGCAGCAGCTATTCAAATAAAAGAAATAAAAATAAATTAATCCAAATACTTGTAAGTAGTATTTTGAGTGTTTGTTTTACCATAAAATGTGCAGTACAATATTGGAACCAGTGGCTTCCTGATGCACGTATCCATTTCACATTTCTCATTCATCTAATATGGCACATATTTTTTAAAAAAATATCAAAATGCTTGTGAAAATGATTCAGATAGGGGCAAAAAAGGAAACAATATAGATTTGATTCCATGTTTTTCTTAGATTAGCAAATCAGTAGCCTGCGGAGCATAGATACAATCACAATAAGAAAGAAACAGCCAGCTGCATCTGCTCAAACAGCAAGGGACAGCATAATGAAAGCAGCATTGATGCAAAATCTACATGGAGTAATGGTATGGGGATGATATTGAACTGGAGCAGGTAAGATCCAACTTCCAATCATAGAAGTTAATTGGGTAACAATCACATTTTTCAATCCAAATTAACACATGGGCTATAGGAACAAACTCAAATAGAGAGAAAGCTAGGTATTCCCACCGGAGGCCCTGAGAAAAATGCAAACTATAGATCTAATACATAAATACAGTTTAATAATTTACCTTCCAATTTGTCTTCTTCAAATGTAGATTCTAGAGGTGGACCAAATAATGGTGCTAGGACAGCAGCATCTTCTGAAGTTCTTTTGCTACAGAAAAAAATAGTTACTTGATATCAGATGTGATAAATAGTTTAGGTTAAAAAATTTTTTTTTTCCATAAAAACAAATGTCAAACTTTTAAATGTCATTTTATATATTTACACAAGAATTTAGTTTTGTTGTGAATTGCTTGTTATAGATCTGCTAATAACCATTGCCATATCTATGTAAGGAAAATATGATTCACTGCAGCAAGTATGCGGATTTAAGTTATACTAAAATATACAGTATACTGTTGTCAATGTAGCCATTCAATGCTCAAAAGTTTACATACGAACAATTTTATAAAATTTAATATATTAAAAACAAAGTAGGTTCTTAAGTACTAATCCTTGAGAAATCAAACACTATCCATATTACCAGACTTGAATACTGATTTGGACACATAAAAATGAAACAGCCAATTTATTAACCCCCCAAGAGCCACTAAAGACTGAAGATAGAATATTCTAAGTGTTGGGAGAATGGAATAGAATATAAAGAGTGGGTACATAAGGGGTGGGTAATTATAGCAACTTTACGACCTATGGACTTCAAATCCCAGAATTCCTGAGCCAGCCATAAAGTTGTCATAGTTGCCCACCTGAATAGGAGTCCTTTTTACTGTGTTTTATTTCATGTTATTCATGTTACTTTCTATAGTTGTAAAGGGAAGTTCAGGAACCAGATTTTGAAATTGTTAGACAAATGGGGCTCAATTTCTTTGAAAATACCATTGTGACTTTCTGGTTCTGCAGTAGAAGCAGAGAATCATCTGAAAAAACTTCTTTAATATTTAGAAAATTGTGCCTACTCAGCTCTGGAAATCTTAAATTGAGCCTTTGGAATACTGTTCTGTTTCTTTAAAAATGCAGAAACACATATACACATACCAATCAAAGATAAAACCCACAAGCAAGAAAATAAATACTGGAAGCAGAATTTCACAACCAGTAATGAAAGTTCCTGTCTTTTTTTTAAAGAACTTTATTCAGTTTATTTACAACAGGCAATATGATTTAATTTGACATTTAAAAATTCAGGAAATTAAAATGTCAACAGCAAAAAGTTATCAGATATATGAATAGTTTACCCCAATATGTAAAATATTACACCTATCTTTTTGTGTAATATTTTCCATCATTTAATGTATTAAAAGGCTTTTTGTTATATTTTCCATTCAAAGATATTAGAATGATAGCATAATAGAAGCAAGAAATCCTCTAAAATATATCCCAGTAAAATATAGTAAGAAAACATTAGAAAATAAATCAAGTGCCTAAAACCTCTATAAGACATTTAAAAAAAATCTGCCTGACATTTTAAAATGCCTGAGTACAAATAACATTTCAATAGATAATGGCACTAATGACAATTATACTTCAATTCCCACTGATTTGTGTCTATATGAAATGGCTTACTACTAAAAAAAAATCTGTAGTCCCTCTACAATGAATTTATGTTGCCAAAAGAATTTACACATATGGTAAAAGAATTTAGGGGATGAAAACTATCCCCACAATTACTATTTCTTAAAATTGAATGAAGTAATGTGTCTACTTCCAGAAATGATTAAGGGATTTTAAAAAATAAAACAAACCAAGTTATATTTCAACAATTAGTATTAGGTCCTAATGCTTAGTTCTGGTCACTATTGTGTAGATTGGGTTAATTCTCTCTCTCTCTCTCTCTCTCTCTCTCTCTCTCTCTCTCTCTCTCTCTCT